AATCTGGGTTGAAAACATTTGAATCAGCCTAGGCCAATACTTCAGTGTGGCTCTGTGAAGTCAGAACAAATCCATTTCTTTGATTCATGGGCTCTGTGCACAGGGAATTGCACAAGATGGACCCTCCCTCCTGTCCCCTACTCATGTCAAGGAGGGAGAATGGAAAATCTGCATGTGAGAAAAAAAGGTTGCCTTGAAGTTCCATGAATCATTGTGAGGGGCATTGCCCTACCTTGCCTCTTCCAAGTCATCTCCTCTATTTCCTCTTCAAGGTATCACGTGAAAGCAAACCACAACAGGCTGTGCCATCGCTTGCTCAAGTATCTTATTTTTATCCAACAGCAAACATCTTCACTTCCCCCTTTTCAGTAGATCAATGGCTCTCCCAAAATCTCCTACTGCAAGAGTGCACCCTGCAAATTTAACTGTGTCTGCACTGATGGCATCTTTAAGAGCCAAATAACTGACCATTTTCCTTAAATGGTGGCATTTTTATCATTCGAGAGATCATGGAAAAAAAATCAGTGGAAAAAATGATGTATTTTCACCTCAGATGATGGTCTCTCTTGACACCACAATTGCTCTCATGCCAACTTAAGATGGCCTGTACTGAGCAAAATCAGACAGTTTACTCTCAGGTTTTCTCCTTTCATTTTCATACAAATTTAATTGCTTTGAATTTTAGCTGTCAAGGGATGAATGAAAACTGGCAAAAGTATCAGTAGCTGACTTCTTTTATTTTTAGAAATAAGAAGGTGCCTATGGATCCTCCTCTACTTTCATGTACTCATAAAGCCAAAACAGTTGATAGTATTGTAAAGACATAAAATATTGGTGAATGAAAAGTCAGACACAGAAAGAAACGCCAATGAAAAATGCATGTGCTACCCACCCGGTTATGTGGCCTGTCACAGCACTCAGTTATGGGCCAAGGAATAAAGTGCTAGTCCCTGATTTTACATCCTTAACTAAGAAAGGAACCATTTCAGCCACAAAATAAACTAAACCCGAACAGGAATGTGCTGGGAAGAGGAGGATTTCTGGCCATGCAGGGCACTGATGTTCTCCCTAAAGGACAAGGAGCAGCAGAATGTTTCATTTCTTTTCAGCCAGGTCTTGATCCTCCTTTGGGCACCTACAGCACAGTTGTCAGCAGCTCTCTGTGAGCTCTCCCTGAGCCTGCAGTCTGGATTCTTGATACAGTCTGTGTGAGGAGAAAACATTGATTTTTTCTCTTGTGCTAACTGGGAAATGGGGAATGCTGGAATCGAAACAAGCATTCATTTTGCTGTGCAGTTTATTACGTTTAAGCAATTTACTATCAAGACTTAATAAATCTCCCTGTCCCCCGCCACCAAAACAAAGATGCCATATGCATCCCAGCACAGGAAGGAGACAAATCTTTTAGAGTCTTCTGACACAACTAGAAACCTGGACATCTGGGCAGCCTGGAGTCCTGGAGCTCCCAAAATGTGTGTTTTTCCTTTCGTTTAAGACAGGGACAAAGCACAGCTCCCAGCTATAAGTGACTGCTCAAGATTTCAAGCCAGACACCCTCCTTTAGTACATAACATTGTGCTCTTCCTCTTTTATCTGAGCCCAGAGCAGGTCCAAACTGGAACTTCAAACATACAACCAACAGATGTTGTGAACATCTAGGGCCCCAGAAGGCAATTCAAATCCCATGATCCCAAAAGAGGAACTTGCTTCATGAAATGTTTTCTTGCCCATATCCACAGATACTAGAAATCTCACGAGGACAACTGTGAGCTGATACCATTTCCACCGTTCAGAAGGAATACTCTTCCAGCCAGAACAAATAAAGACATTTTAGTAACTGCAAACATAAACCAGAGTCCTGCTTCAGCCACACAACTGAAATGTTGCATCTTTGCCTAACCGCAAACCCCATCTGGATCCTGCCATCACCCTTCTCGCTCACATTTAATTCTAGCAGCTATCAAATCACTTCTCTGACCCAAGTTTTGCCTCCCTGTACCTGTTAGTTTCACTGTGCCCACCCAGTTTTCGGCTTTTGGGGACATCTGCAAAACATCAAATGACTTTTTATTAAAGGTTTTATTAGTCAGAAGGGGCAACCTCTTTAAAAGGAGAAGTGGGAGGGATCTCTTTTTCCCCAGGCTGCTGAAATACACAAATATTGTCACATTTGCTGAGGCCATTTCAAAATAAATAGATGAAGCCTGCAGGCTGGATGGTAATGGAGATCTACTGCTGGAGGGTGTAAAATTGGAATCCCCATCTATGGACATGCCACAGGGCTGCTCCCCTTGTGCAACACGCAAAGGAAGGAAGTTGAAAGGAAGCAATTTATGAGTTAGTCCTGAGTAATACAGTGATATGGTTAGCAATGCAGAGGTAGAAAAGCCTGTATGACAGAGTGAATATACGTGGGCTTGTAAATCAGTGCTGAATGGGAAATGAATGCGAGAAGGAGAAAAGCTGCCTAGTATTATTAGTGTGCATCCAGTAAGGTCACGGGCAACAGTAGATGCATACGATAAGGGAACAGAGGAAGAAAGGCTGCTTTTAGTATTTTATACCTACACCTCATATGTAACATAAATGGACAAGCAGTGTTGTCCTGTCCTTCATAATTTCCTCATAAGGAGACAAGTGCTGTAGAACACAACAATTTTCTCCTAAAACCCAGTCTGAGAAGGATGGGATATATTTACTTGTTCAATAGGCAGAGTCCTGACTCAGAGATAATAGAAGGGGTTTTTCTCCTATAATTTTGCTTATCCCTCCCATTTACTTTTTCACAGTTCTTCATAATGAACAACTTCAGATGAAACAAAACACACTCAGCTCCTGTGCTGAACTTGAATACAGCTATACAGCAACTTTTGCTGGAGATCAAAAATGTTTAATGAGTTTTTCCCCTCATTTTGCATTTTTTCCAAATTAAGTCCTTGGACCCACCGATGATCAAAGATGTGATAAAGCACATGAAGGGGTAAAGGCTGCCCACTGGTGCAATTCCTTTCTTTTATTTATTTTTTTGTTATATTGAAAAAGAACAACACCTCTGGTACATACTTGAGTTTTCATTAATCTCCGAAGATTTAGACAAGGTTTGGGGTATTTATTGAAACATATACATGAACTTGAGGCTTTTAAGATTTGGTAACCAAGATTTAATTTATTTCTGTATAGACAGTTCCAGCCTACAAATTGTTATGCATTTGTTTAAAATAAGAGGTCTAATGGCAACACTTCTGGCTCTGGATACAGTCCAGCATTTAGAAAGGTACAAGAAATGTAAATTGAACAAAGAGTTTGAAACCATCTGCTGAATTTTTATTTAATTAAGACCTCATCTGCATTTGAAACACAAATTAAGGTAAGGGGTGAATTTAAATGAAAAAGAGATTGATGAATAACTTCATGGGCATTTGAGTTAGGGAAGAAGAGAGCATTGTCCCTATTTACCTTAACACACTTCAAAATTATGTTATTCAAATTAGAAACACAGACTTCCCTATTCAAGAACAGGAACATCGATATTTGGAGTTAATCAGAAACACTTACTAAAGAGCAATCTATATGCAAGACATTTTATAAGGAAAGTTAGCAAGGAATTCTCAAGTAAGCTTTGTGTTCCACACGTAATTCATAGAATTGCAGTTTAGGGAAGTTTCAAGCACACAACTTACCAAACCTCACACAGATTGTTCTGAGTAACATCTTCTTTGGGTGTAAATCTGGTGTAATGAATAGAAATAAGGGTGTGTTGTTTAAGGACACAAATAATATCAAACACAAGTGTAATCATAGGCAGTTTGGGGTTGCATGGGTCTTTTTGGTTTTGCCAGATAGGCTCAAGCTGAGCACAGAGAAGCTGCGAAAGCTGGACACCACAGGGACAGTTTAAGGCTGAAAATCCTGGTCCAGCTGAGCGAGGAGATCCAGAAACCCGCCCTGAAAGTCAAGATGTCCTGGGATCCCTCCAGACACAGAATAAAGGATCTGTCTCATTCACTGTGGCACCAAAGAAGAGCCTTTTGTATTTTTCAAAACAGGACTTGCACCCATGCATTGAGAAATCTCTCCATTAACTTGGCATGAGCTGCAGCAAGCCTGAAACTCCCATTGAACTGCCCTATGAAAATGATGAGACATTAGTTATTCTAACAAAACCCCCAGTGGTGAAATGCACTGCTTTCAAATCACACTTTTGCCATACTCAGTTTTTGCTGTCATCAACAATGTTTCCCTGACCCCCCTGCCTGTAGAACAGGATCAACTTTATTAGGCCAAAATTTTTATCTCTGGATCTTCTCCCACAAACCACACTTTAGTGATTCCTATAAAACAGCCTTTGGAGCCAAACAGACACAATTTTGCAAAAGTTAAAGCTTCCCTTTTTCATGGCTTGTCAGGATGAATAGAAGCCAAGGCATTCAATTCAACCTGTGCTCGACCACACAGACTTGGGAAGTGATACTCTTTTGCTCGAGTCAGGGAGCTTAGGCATGGATTTCAAGGGAAACATGAAAATGGACACTGACTCTGAACTAAAACAGGTTACTGCCCTGCTTCTAAAAAATAAAAAGAAATATAAATTCTTCCTTCTTAGAAAACCAAATATTGTATTAACAGTAGGCCTACATCAGGCATGTCATTACAGAAGGTCACTTATGATCATGTTCCTCTTCCTTTGACAGTTGGGTGGACCACCATATAGGCTGGAACAGTACTAATATACAAAATTAAAATTAAAACCCCGACCACACTAATAGTTCCACCAGGGAACAGTGATGAACTCACAGTGTAGATGATAAAAAGAGCAGCTGTGGCAATCTCATATTCATTGCTGGTGCTTAGAGCCTCCTGCAGAAAGTATGAAGCACTTTGCTTCACCACCCAAATACATGTAATTTCCCCCCCAAAAATAAACAAACATTTATTTTAGTTTGAAGTTTTTAATTATTTCCCCCCAAATTCTTTCTTCTCAGAGTCACAACTTACCTCAAGGTACATGGAGCTGAGAAAAGACACTGCAGATTGCATAGGAGCCTAAAACCTGCCTGTAAGTAAATAAAATCAAGTAACTGTAATAAAAAAAAGTTAATTCTAGCCTTTTGTTTGTTTCCATTGTAAAATTGCCATGGGACTAAGGAAATATAGTAGCGCTTAATTTTAATAGTTCCATCATTGTAGATTGGCTGGGTATTAATTGTGTTAATGGTGATCATACTGAATTCATTTGGTATTTATTGAGAGACCACCTGTGCACCCATATGGTTTCCATCATTATTTAGGAGTAGTTAATGGACCCATTAGGAGTTAGCAGAAAGATGTGGGCTGGCAGTACTTCCCGAGAGTGGTAGAAACATTCTGCTGATATCCATTGCGTTTTGAGGATTTTCCAAAGAGCTATTTGCTTCCCACCAATTTTCTTTTTCTCTAAGTTCCACATAATCTCATTTTAGCTTTCAAATGCTCCTGAAAAAATGAATTCATGTTTCTTGGCCTCTCAGAAACCTAGGGGGGCAACCTTTAGCCTTCTGATCTTGCAAAATGTCCTTTAACATGTTTGTGTGCAGCTCTCAGAGCAAGGAGGGCACAGGAAAGCTTCGAGGGGGTGGGTGCACTTGTGTGCTGGGGGGAGAAGGAGGGGAAAAGGGGAAATGTTGACTGGGACTCTGCAGTGTGACAGATTTGCCCACGCAATATGTAGCCTCAGTTGTGCAAGACCAGAAACCTGCGGTGGGGAGGGGATGGCGGGGGAGTCACATGCGGGGAGTCAGCCTTGACTGTCAGCAGAGGAGAAGGAAGAATGTTTTGGCTGGGTGTGGTGGTAACCAAGGCTGCTCGCTGACCGCAGTGACCTCCTGCTTTGATCCGCATATCTGAAAAGGCACTGCTGAAGCTCTGCTCTGCACAGGGCAAGTGAACACGCACGAGGGTGTAGAAAAGGATTTCCATTTCTGGTGCCATGACAATGGGCAGATGGAGGAGCATCTGTGTAGCTTCAGTGCAAAAGGACGGTTATTTTGTTCAAACTGGAATCTCAGGAGCAGTCTGAAGTGAGTGAATTATTTCCCCAGAAACAGGGAGTCTCCCTCCCCCCGAGTCTCCTACCTAAGAACTTTAGGCGTATTTTCTGCATACATCCCTAACAGTACACGGTTTGCAGGATCTCTGCTCTGTACCAATATCCATCTGTCAGCCATCTCTAATAACTTTTGAGCTTACTGGCCAATCGCAACCAAATCTGATAAAACAGTAGAGGTCTCACAGGTTTTAGGTTTTGTGAAAATGGGGAGAGGATAGAGGAAGGGTGCCAGCTAATGCTGTGCAAGAGGCTCAGTCTTCCTCAGCTGTAGCCATAGACAACAGACTTCACTCAGGCTTTTTCTCCTCAGGGAAATCTGTAAGTTTTTCTCTCTTACAGGTGTCTGAAAGACCTTTCCCTCTGTTTAAAGAATTTTAAACTCTCTTTTTCTCCCATACAAAATTAACGAGGAAAGCATTGATGCTGCATCTCTTCTAGAGTTCAAGTCAGGAAGCCACATGGTACACATCATAAGCATCCCAAATTCATTAGTTCTCTTGCTCATGGAAATACTTGTTTTAATAAACAAGGAAGAGACCAAGCTGTCTTCTCATTTTGGTAGAGAAACTATTAAATTAACAGTTATGCATTATAAGTGTATGCACAAGGTGAATGAGGCCTGAAACAATCATTTCTGCATGTGAGGAATATAATCAGGGTGCTATTGGTATGACTCTGGTGATTATTCATACTTATATTCACAACCTGATCTTGTTAAATGAGGCTGTGTTCTCAGAAATAGCACACTTGGCATTTAAAGGAGGCTCTTTTCTGTAGCCAGCTCAGATTTCAGTGCATCTCTTGACAGGACCCCTTCCTTTTCTAATCTGTGTATATTTGAGCTGTATTCTTCCCCTCCTATTAATACCATAGATGCATCTATGTTAGCATTTTCATAATTCCCTGTTGAGGGAAATCTCTCAGATATCTTCATTTATGATGCTTACGTTTGAAATTCACAGACTAGATTATGTTGGGGAAAAGTTAAACCAAAAGATGTGCATTGAAAGGGCTTCAACTGCTAGTAAGCTTTCAGTCCAGTGTATTGGACTAGATATACTGCAAAATAGCCTCCTAAAACCAATACGATACGGAGGTTGGGTTCTCATCACCATCAGTTTCACTGCACAGATCTGCCTCCATTGCATAGCTTCTCTGGTTTTTGTTCCTGCGTCAGCTCCCTGTGGAGATAAGAGCGTGTGTACAGAGTGGGTTATTGCACTTCAGCAGAAGTTTCTTAACTTGTGATTTATGATATTATGAATATTCCCGATATTTATGATATTATGAATATGAAGATATCATGAAGTTATTTCCCAAGTTTTAAGAAGGTTGGGTCTGGGATGGTTGTTACAGAATTAAGTGGCATTTCTGTCATAAGGAACAATTTGAAATGGAAATAATTTCTGCCATGAATTAATTGCCTTTGACTCCTCAGATGTGCTCCAGTTACCCCTACCTCACCACCCTCACAGGGAAGAACTTCTGCCTAAGATCTCATCTCAGTAAATCTCCTCTCTGGCAGGTTAAAGCCATTCCCCTTGCCCTGTCCCTACAGGCCCTTGTCCAAAGCTCCTCTCGAATTTATTTATTAATATTTATTTATTTGTATTTAGTTTATTTATTAGTGAGGGGCTGGCACAGGGTGCCCAGAGAAGCTGTGGCTACCCCATCCCTGGCAGCGTTCAAGGCCAGGTTGAACACAGGGGCTTGGAGCAAGCTGCTCTAGTGGAAGGTGACCCTGCTCGTGGCAGGGGTTGGAACTGGATGAGCTTTAAGGTTCCTTCCAACCCAAACCAGTTTGGGAACCAATTTCACTGCCTCTTACTTAAAATCCCTCCCTTGTACTTTTTTTTTAGGGTCCACACAGCTGAGGCTGCACCTGAAACGCAAAAGCATCTCCAAGCCTTACCTCCTGCTTTATTCAGTAGCAAAGCACTGAAAGGACTGGAAACAAGGCAAGGTGAATGTCTTCTCAAAGGTGTTGAAAACCCTTGCAGCACCTCTTTTAAGCTGAGCAGACAGTAGCGTTTCCTAGAAATCCACACTGAAGCTGCTCTGTCCTGTATGGAAAAGCATTCCATCACATCTTCCACCTACATGTGTTTTTAGTGGAAGTCCATTACTTCCTTTTGATGTGCTTTTTGGGTGTAAACAACAGTAATGAAAACAAGACTCTGAAGGCAGTTTCCCTGTATGAAGCAAGGCCTACCCAAGTGACAGAGAAGGCAAAGAGAGCATTTTGAGATTATTCCTGTTCCAAATGGAAATTCAGCAAATGAGAAGTGTTTGCGTACGTGCTGAACATCGTGTGAAAGCTGGATGCTGTAGGGGCTGTCTCTAAGGCCACATAGGTGTTCCCAAACAGTAGCTCTGGGTTTAGAGGTCAGCGCTGCACTTAGCAAGCTCCTGTGCAGGGATCTGTACGAAAGTGGCTGTACATCTTCCATACTTGCAGCACCGGTACTGGGACACCCAAAGGTGACAGGAGAAAGCTGCACACCTGCGGGGTGGTCAGGATGCTCCGTCTGTGCAGGAAGATGAAGAAGAGGAACTGAACTGCTCAGGGTAGGTCTACACCACCAGTTGACAATAGATTTAGGCATGTTGTGTCCAGCCCTGTGTGTGTTCCACCCACACTGATAAGTCACACAGCATAGGAAAGATTTCCCACAGCTTAGATATCTCCTGTGTCTAAATACATCTGAGTAACCGATGTAAGCCTCTGTGAAGACACGATACTTGAGCTAGCTGGCTAGTGTGGCTTTGTTTTTAGCTATTAGTGGGCAGAGAGGAGCACTGCTAAAGCATGACTCTTCTGACCTCCTTTAGATGGTCCTTCTTAGAAGCAGATATTTGGTAATCCTAGAAATGCTTGTTCCTCTCCTTTGATTATACACCGCAATTAGCTCAGCAGCAGATACCTGGGATTTAATGGAATGAAATCTGTCCCAACTGCAGTGAGGACACTTGGACACAGAAAGATACTGCACATGGTCAGGGTATAAAGCTCTTGTCATAGCCTTTGGAGACAGACACTGGGAGCAGCCAGGTTCACTCCTGCTCTGTACGAGGGATCAGGCTGAGGACAGCCCGTACCATGGCTGGTCCAGCCACTGACCGTGATGCTGGGGTAAGCACTCCTCTTTATGTGGCTTGTGCATTAACACGGCAAGGATGGAAGGATCTAATCCTGAGACTGGGTGTGAGCCTACACTTACCTGACAATATTCAAGGTCTTTTCCAACCTATCTGATTCTATGATTCTGTGACAGCACAGACATATTCCTGAGCCACGTAGAGCCAGTGACACACAGCTTTACACGGGGGTTTGCCTACAAATGGGGTCTAGCTTTGAGCTGGTGATATTTAGTACTGAAATAGAGGGTGACCTCTGTCACAAAGCTTGGGAAACAGAAGGTAAGATGCATGGAACCAGGAAAGTAATTGCCATCAGCCTTTGATCCTCAACCTGTGTATCAGACTCCACAGGAACTCCCCCCAAACCTGAATATCTCATTATTTATTTTTATGATTAGGTTTCTTAATGGACTTTTACCCTTCCTTCCTCTGGGTACAATCTGTGTGGCCAAAAATAATGTGAGATCTGGTCTTCTACCATGTTTTGACTCCCAGGGAACTGAAGAACCGTGAGAAGATCCAATCTGATGTTATTTCAGCCCCACAAACACTCCCTGAGTGACTCAAAGTGCTTGGAAAAAAAAAGTAAACACAAATACCTGAAATGAAAATATAAGTCCCCAGAGCCACACACACCACAGTCCATCAGAGCAGGAAGGACAACCCAACCCCTCCTGGTGATGTCTGTCTGCAGGGTTCTCTGGGTAATTTGTCCACATTTAATACTGCTCTCAAGGGGAAGTTGAACAAGTTGTACTGTTCCTTTTAACCAGTTATACTCATCTGCCTATTGCTCCTCTTCTTTTCCAAGAGAAGAGACTGAAACAAACCTCAGAATCTAAATCAGTGAAGCTCCATGACTGTCAGCTACAGAGCTGGATGCAGCATTTTTCCCTTTCAGTCCTCTGCTCCCTCAGGTTTGCCTGAAGGATAGCATGAATTTCATTGTATCTTGTGTGCTGCTTTGAATCACCAGTGCTTTCACCTCTGAGCACTGGGCTCATCACTGTGACCAGGCACACCTAAACTTAACCCACCTGCTCCCAGTGCAACTGCTTAATCCATCCCAACCCATCCCACCCCATCCCACCCCCATCCCACTCTGCAATCCCCATGTTCATGACCATGCCAGAAATCTTATTTTATGCAAAACTTGTGTTCTCACCTCAGAGGAGACACCACCATTGCGTCTCCTTCCCCTTGCACTTAAGTGGGTCTTTCAATAGATACTGTGGGAACCCACCTACACCTGATTATGGTGCAGACTAACATGAGTTTTGTCCCTCTTTGTGGGAGGCAGAAGATATTCTTTGGGCTGTGTAATCTACCACACATTAATTATAAACACTTAGTCATCTGCAAGGGATGCTATGCCCCCTTCATTCAATACCTTATTTCAAGCTTTATTGTCTTAAATGAATGAATCTTTATTTAGTTTTCTTTCTTTTAGACGTGAATATGTGAGTCACGCATGCAGCATGGGTCTGAGAATCTATTGACACAAGAACTCTTTGTTTTAAATCATGGAGTATCCAAATATTACAGAAATGAGAACTCGTACTGTGGCATAGCAAATTCCAGCCAGTGTGTGTTCAATTTAGGATAATACTGAAAAGCCTGACCTCAGTTTTACCCATGCAATGTCAGTGTTCCAGTACAAACCAAGAGTTATTTACAGTGGTGCCCTGGGAGAGATGGGATCTGCTGGGACTTTCTGGCTGCCAGTGATGTACAGTGTCTATTTGGGCTAGAAACAGCATGCTGGGACCACTAGGCTGTAGGTCATAATACCCAAGATACTACTGTCTTTTTGATTGCGCTCATTTCCCCTTAACATAGGACAAACCCTTTTACCTCCTTGTGTCTCCATCCAGCTCCTGCCTATTCAGCTAGTCTGGGCATAGCTTAGCTGTAGCAAGCAACAGGTGATTTTGTTATCCAAATTGGGTGATCTCTAAAATTAAAAGGTCAATCAGACCTTTGAATCTGGAAGACAGCATTTCTATTTCAGGAGGAAAAAACTCTTTAGAGATGGGTTGCAAAGCCACATCTCAAATTCTCCAAGTTTCCATCTAATTCAGGCTCAGGTTTGCAGCTCAAGCACATCTGGAACTATTCCTCCTTCAAACATGTGGTACATGTCCTAGAAGAAAGTATTTTTAAACAAAATAGTAATAAGAAAAGGCCTCAGACCAGAAGCAACCCTCTCCTTTTCCATAGAGGCAAGGCAGGGCTGCTACCCAGCGCAGTGCCAACAAAAGCCCAAAACAAAGTTATGTAATAATGACAAATATCAAACAAACTGAAGGGAAGCTGGGAGGGGGGAATGTCGCTCTCCCTCTTCCCGCATGGCTCCTTCCTCCTGTTTTCCTGGCCCACCCATGCGTAACTGACTCCAATAAACCATGAAAAGAGCAACTTGGCAGCAGCTGGCACGCTGGACCTGGGCAGATGCCAGCGGCAGGGCTCCCACTGGCTTTGAAAGTTGTATTTTCATATATATATATTCATATATATATATATATAAAAATACATATATGTCAGTCTGAATGGCTGAGTGAGCCACTGAAATGAAGACAAGCAAAGACAGCGATTGGCATACACTCTACATGTTCTCCAGATTTTGTGTCCCCTTACTCTGTCAGGCTATCTCCTCTAATGAGGTTCTTATGCATTTTTTTTTACTTACAGGGAGCCCGAGTCCTTCTGCTTTAAGTCAGTAAGAAGTTTTCAGCTGATTATCAAGACTAGTATTTTGTCATGTTCACAAGGAACTACAGCGTTTGACTTTCAGTGTCACAGTCAGGAAGATTTCTCTGTGCAATGAACAATCAATTAGATTTCTCTATGCAATTAGATACAGAAATATGCCATTTTCTTGTTTGTATCTGTTATTTATCCTGTGAAGTATCTCTTTCCTGAGGTCACACTTGATGCTTTGTGGAAAGGGAAAAAAGGACAGCCTCAGCCCCAGAGGAATGCCCAGTGTGATGCTTGTTGCTGACTTTTCAAAGCAGCAATAAAAGATCTGCAAAGAAGGGGATCCCTTTGAACCAGACTGTAGTGGCGAGAGCCCTTCAGGAAACAAAGGGCTCATGCGGGTCATAGAGGGTGAGGCAGCAAGGCAGTTGCTAGCAACAACCAGACAGGAGCACAGCCTGTGCTAAACTCTGTGTACCCTGTTATCACAGTTCCTCCACTTGTTTAAAGGGGAACCAGGATCTGCTTGAGCACATCTTGGAGTCACACCAACATAAATGTCGCTTTTTGCTTCTCTGACCCCTGACAAGTCTTTGAGCATCTGGCCTGCACAGGCATTCAGCCATGTGTGAGAAGAGGACTCCTCAGAAAAACTAAGTGTTTTCCTGTGTCTTGAGCTGGCAAATGGAGCAGATACTCCAACAACTCACAGACTGAACAGCAGAACCTATTATTTCTTCTTTTGTTTTAGGACTCACATCAGTGACAGAGAATGGAAAAAACGTGTGAATCAGGTCATTTCCAAGTTACGTGATTCACTCCGATAGGATGTTGCATTTCTTTGTCTCTCTTCAAAGAATCATGTGGAACAAAACCACAACATGGTGCTGACTTGCTATGGGGTGGGTGGAGGGAAAGAACAAAAGCGACCCTTATTTTAGAAAATAGCTACCATGCTCATGTTCTTCCAGGTGTCTCCAAGCCCTTGAGAGGTTTGACAGAATTCCCACGAATGACCCACAATTTGCCCACAATTCTGTCCCGCTATATCTCTCTCATGTATAATAGAAATGGAAGCTTGTGGTTGAGTGACCTCAGCATCGTTGCAAAAGTTTGCTTGCATTATTCTCACAACACGTGATTCCATAGGAAACACTACTCTATGTCTAGCTACTTTTCATTAACTCTTTCCTGGAAGGCAGAGCACTGAAGAAACCACAGATACATGACCCTCTCTCCATGGGACCCATGCAGGGCAATTCCAAGCATTTGCCCACATCTCACACCCTTCAGGGTGGATTTTCTCTGCTCCAGAAGGACTACAGGGAGCAGTGTACGGCTGCAGTGCTGGTCAGGTTTGTGTGTGTGAGCTATGCAGCTTTTTACCAGATGCACTGAAGAAATCTGCCCCTGCCCTCCAGGATAAGGTGCTATACACAAGAGCACTGACCTCACAGTGCCTGTTTGCCAAACCAGAGTACTCTGGCTACCCTAAAATAATATGATTGGTATTTTAGTCCTATATATGTTAGGAGTGCACAAAGGAATCAACAGAGTGTTGCATAAAATACATTTTTCTTGCTCTAAAAAATTTGAAATACTGGGGGAGACACAACACAACACACATACAGAAGCACTGTTCACGTTGAACTTTTCTATCAAGTGTATGTTTTATTCCCAAAACAGTTTCTTTTCTCTCCTTCTGTCTTTGTATAGAGATATTGGGGGCTGGGTATGTTAGAAGAGAAGTTGCCCTCTCCCTTCCTGAGCCCTCTTTGCTACTGGGAGGAAGCAGCCCAACTAACGTGGTCACCAAAGGCTCTGGACACTGGGGTGAACAGCTTGCAAAACAGTCTTCCTGCATGTTTGCAAAACACGTAGCAGACCAAGGGTCTGATTGTATTGCTACAGTGCTGGTTATAGATATAGCTAAAGCAGAAAGAAACTGTTACTGGATGCTGCATGAGAATGGCAAAACTGGCTATTGCTGTTTCCAAGCATATGGAGATTAGGATGAGAAATTCTTTGCATGCATAGTGATGTGTTGCTTCCAAAACCAACTGAGGATGTATAGAAGCAATCCTTAACATCTTTATACCAGGTTTGGTATGAAACCTTCTTCATATTAAGAGACACAGTCCCACTGCAGGTGTAAAGGAGTCCTCAGCTGGGAAGGATGCAGTGGGTAAATGCCACGGGACAGGGCAGGCACTCTCCAAATCTGACAGTGAAACCAGCACAATGAAACGTCCTACTGCCATGCTGGGAAATCTTGATCATTTCATCAAGTCCTCCCAGTGCACTGGAATATAGACTTTTCCCATGGGATGACAGCTTCAGACAGGACACTCCCAGCAGCAAGAAGGCAGAGCCAGTAAAAAGATGGGAACACACAGTAACTGATCACTGTGTATGGCTCTAGGAGGAAGGTGTCCCTGCCGTGTAATGGAGGTTGTTGTGTTCCAGAGTCCCCATTTAAACATGTTAGGTCTTGGGCATAATCAGGATGAAGTTCAGGTGTTGCAGAGGGACAAACCATCATCTCCTCCACAGTGCATCCCTTGTGGTGTGGGTGCTGAGCACACGCAGGGGTCCTGGGGGCTACAAGAACGTTGCAAGCCACAGGAGCAGCCGTGCTCTTCTCCCCTGACACAGGGCACTTGCTGGCTGCCAAACTGTACGTGGTGATTATGCAGCATGGACATCCCTTCAGCTGCTAAGATAAGGCCTTCTGATTCATTTCCACTTAGAATCTAGATGGCAGTTTGGTTCGAATTAGCCATGAGCTAAAGCCAAAACCCTGGATCTGAACTTTCTCAGATTTTGGGAAGACTCCAGTCTGGATCTGAGCTTAGTACATGGCTCTCACTTATAAAGATTACAGCCAAACTGTGGATCAGAACATTCCCAGAATATGGGGAAGCTCAGAGCTCATATTTGATGGTGGGATCATATCAATCACAGGTTTCAAGGATGAAATACTGTCCCTATGTTAGCTTATTCTTTGTTTTCTTCCATAGCTGGTGTTTAACAAGTGCCTTTTTAGCTCTGCAATTGTAAATTCCCAGTTATTGCAAACAAGAGTAAACAAGAAAAAAAGAGATGGGTGTGTGTGCATGTATATTTCAACTGGAAAAGCATCTTCTTTTGAATCTGCCTATTGGATACACAAGAGGCTTTTTGGTTTCAGATGACAGTTGTGTCTCATTCATAAAATTCTGGACACAATTCCAGTGCCCTGACCACCAGAGCCTTTTCAGCGCAGGATGTGGCACCGTGACTGCAGTGAGAGCTCCTCAGGCATGTGTTGCCCCACAGCTTGCCCTTGGATGAATCCTTCAAAGAACAGGACTGAAGGGTAACAAAATTCCACTTTCAAGCTGTTCAGAAGACATGGTGCTAACAAACAGCTCCCGAAAGGCGAGATCTTGCAATCTGCTGCTGTGGAGCAGCTGAAAAGCCGGTTCTCAAATCCTGGGCATCTCAGTGTGTGAAGCACAGGCAGGGAAGCACAAGAAATCCCACCGAAGGTGTCCCTTCGAACGTCTGGAAAATGTCAAACTGCCTGCCACTCTGTGCTGAGGCAAATCTCAGCTCCAACAGAAGGCTTTGTCAACACTGTGCCATATCATTAGCTTGAGGTTTATACACTTCAGTTGACACCTCTCCCTTGTCCTACAGATGTTGCATTACATTTAGGATTGAGCCTCTAACAATACAGCTGTTTGAACACATGTGCATTTTCCACTCAACAAACCGCAAGGATATGGCAGCAGGGTTACAACATTTGGATCCTAGGGCTAGAATGAGAGAAGCAGAGTAAGGTGTTTCTTTGGGAAATCTCTGTAGTTTCTCCTGTAGTTTCTCTCTTTCTGATTTTATTCACTGACTGTACTTAACTCAGGCCATAGGGAAGGTAAAATCTGATTGATATTGCAAGTGACAACTGAGGCCTTGAAATCATTTCCTCAGTTCATCTTCAAGAGGTGTTAAGCCCACAGCATTTTGCTAGCTCTAGAGAAGTAGAGCCATTTTGACTTTTATTTGCAAAAATCCACTTTATTCCAATTCCTGTTAATCCTGTTACTTGTGAATAAATTCCTGTTACTTGTGAATAAATTAGAACCTGCCCCAATAAATGGGTTTAAAGAAGAATTATGAGATATGCTCAGAAGTGAAAGATTTTATAATGTTCTTTCCACTTTTGCCACTACAGGATAGGAGAAGCAGTGGCTAGGGTTCACTGGGAGTCTCACAAAATCATTGAATGCCCTTTCTGCTATCAATAAAGTACAGAAGTTGGGGAGACTCGCATGGGTGATTTAATAAAATAAAGTGAGCCCCCAAATGGGCTTCTTAAGGAACACGAGGAGTCAGGTATCATTCTTCTCTCCTTGCCAAGGGCATCTTTTGCAGGTACCTTCAATTATTTGACTCCTGATTTACGTCAGTTGTTGTAAGGAGAATTGCGTTTCTTTTTCATCTGATCAACATCTGTTTTTTTTTGAAAAACAGATGTGCACAAATCAATCTGATTAATGTGCTTGATTCTGCAATTACTGTGGGATAAATCAGCAGCGTGCTAAAATCAACCTGGTGTCAAATTTATGCTCCTGCACCTTCAGTATTCAGCCTGACTTCAATCAGATTTTTGCTTTGCGAAACTTCTTTAGATACAAAAGGGGTAAAGTAAAACCCACAGTGCCAGGACACGGAGCATTTCTGATGATGTGGTGTGCAGTTACCACTAACTAGAAGTGTCCGTTTGGGACTGCAATGACAAAATGCAGCAAATCTTTGAATAGGCTGCAGGCTATCTCATGACTTAACAGGGCAGAAGGGTTCCTTTCTCATAATTACTCAAGCCTCTGAGATAGTAATTGGGGTTGTATAAGTACATATAATCATAAAAATGAAAAATATATAAAATATAAAAATACAGGCTGATTCAAAGGACATACATCTTTCTTAAAGCACTGAAGGATGCAACTGATTATATAGTGGAGAATCACAACATTATTGCTGCTTTCTTTGTGGCTCCTGCTGCTCCAGGAAACAGAGGCAACATAGGAATTGAAACTAGTGGAGTGTTCTTTACAGATTTAGTTATGACTTATTTTGATGTCCACATGAAGGGAAAGGTGAGTGGGAAAATCCACATCTTCCTCACAGGACCCTCTGCTGCTTACCTTAGCCTAGTGTAAGGTGCTATTCAAAATGCCCTGTGTTCTGAAAAGACTTTCACATTGGCCAGTGTCATGTTCTGCATCACTTTTTTAAAGCTCATCCAGTCCCAACCCCTGCCATAGGAAGGGACACCTTCTACTGGAGCAGCTTGCTCCAAGCCCCTGTGTCCAACCTGGCCTTGAGCACTGCCAGGGATGGGGCAGCCACAGCTTGTCTGGGCACCCTGTGCCAGCGCCTCAGCACCCTAAGAGCTCAGCTCAGTCTCTCCTCGGGCAGGTTCAAGCCATTCCCCTTGGCCTGTCCCTACAGGCCCTTGTCCCAAGCCCCTCTCCAGGTTTCCTGCAGCCCCTTTAGGCACTGGAGCTGCTCTAAGGTCTCCCCTTCAGGAGCCTTCTCTTCTCCAGGCTGACCCAGCCCAGCTCTCTCAGCCTGCCTCCAGAGCAGAGATGCTTCAGCTCTTGCAGCCTCTGCACTTGATCAACTGTAATCCCCCATGACCTGCCCAGTTCAGCAGAGCAGATGTTCATGGGTCATGGTTGCAGCATTCATTTGTTGTAGGTGTGGTGCCGATACTGACTGTTAGCACTGGGACAAATATACTCGTTGACTTTGATATTTTTATAAGGAGGGGTGATTAAGGTGAGAATAAAATTAGGATTTTTTTTTTTCCCTTATTCACTCTGTCACAGCTGACTTTCATCTTCTTTAAATATGGGCCCTATGCTCAGAACTCAAATCCACATCCAAACCTGCCTTTTCCCCCAATCTGGGGGTGCTTTGAGCTGGAATCCATAACTTTCTTTTTTATTTTTATTTCTTTTTCAGCTAGAACCTAATAAATGTGCTCTATAAAAAATGAGTTCAGCCAACATCTGGAGGCAGATAAAAATCCTCCAAGCTACTGTTCCACAATCTTAGGGATCATTAGCACTGCAGAACATCTATACAGAATATTTATCTTAAGCATGTAATAAAATGAAAGCTACTGCGCCAAATTCAGAACAACCTCTGATGAAAAGAAATGCCTCACATTAACATTAAGCTAGAGCTTTTCTAGCCAGAGAGAATCGTTTCTCTAGCCAAAGTACAGCAACTTGTAGTTACAAAATCTTAACTCTAAACACAGGTTTGGGGGGAATTTATTATTTTAATTGTGAGACTTCATCACTGGTTAGTTTAATGTGTCTCTCCTCCTTTTTCTTTTAATCACCATCCCCCTCTCCTTGGGATGGTTTATCGCTTGTAAATTATTTGTCACATCGTTGTAATTCTATCCAGATCCTTAACTTTCTAATCATGCATCTTTTATGGGGTCTCTTTTAAAGAAGCACTATAATTACTTGCCAAGGGTCCCTGTAAATTTTATCAGGCTGTAAAATATTATACTTTAATCATTTGGAAAAAAAAATAATTGGAAATGTTCCCTCTGAAAGGGTACATGATCGATCCTGTGAGGAGCACGGCACCTTCTGCAGTTTTGCATTTGTTCCTGATGCGTATACCTCAGGAGCCGTCAAAACTCCTCCACTGCACTCAGTGTCATGGGAAAGTATTAATGGAGAAACTGGCCTTTGATTAAGCTGAAGATATTGCTTACTGCATCTTTTAGCTGTTGCAAAATACACTGTGAGGATGGCAAAGGGTGCTCTCAAATTCTCTCTGTTGAAGGCTCAGCAATCAGCTTGGTGAAAGATGTTTAAGAGCAGAGCAGAAATGCAAAATAAACTGCAGATACGGAAATAAGCTGAACCTTCCTTACAGGAAATTGAACCTTTTTTAGAGGGATAATTCTCTGTTTCCATACAGATTCTGAAACTATCATCTTGTTGTTTAGTTTTAGTAGTAGCAAATAGATAGAAATACACATAACTTTTTTACTTCTACTATTTCATAGAATAACAGAACCGTTTGTGTTGGAAGGGAACTTAAAGACCATCTGGTTCCAACCCGCCTGCTATGGGCACGGACACCTTTCACTGGACTCATTTCTGTCAATCTTTACTGCAGGAACTAGCAACTTCCATGATGCTGTTTTCAAGAACAAGTGTGAGGAAATTATGTACGTGATAGTTACCTGAAGTGTTTTCTGGAACAGCGTTTCACGTGCACCCTTCCAAACATTGGTTTGCAGCTATTTTAAATCTGTATGTGTATAAGGTGTAAAATCATATATCATGCTCATCACCAGCACTTCAATTAAACACGCGTGGTAGCTAAGCCCTTGCACATTTCTGGTAAGTACGCATTTCTTTAGATAGCTGAGCTGAAATATGAGCGAGTTAAATGATTTGGTCAAGGAGCAAAGTAAGCTGGAAGCAAAGTAAAATATAGATCTCACCTCAGCTCTATGCTCCTGGGGACCACTATGGGATATGCTTAAGAGGAAGGACAGCCTATCTGTGCTATTTCTCTTATGCTAAAAGAACCCCTGAAAGGATCCTCTTATCCTATCTGTCCAGTGGCTTTCAGATACTATCATGGGAATACCCACGGTTTTCTTTTCTATATTGGACAAGATAAGACTCATCAGTGCTCAGACAGCTCAGGTTAAGGCACTGTTAGATCTCAGCATTCCTGTTTCCCAGGTTTTCTGTAAATACCAACTAAAAGTACATTTCCTGAATGCCCTTTCCAGAAAATCTCGGCACCACAAGTAAACCATCCACATTCTGCACAGCATCAGCTTTGCAGCAGCCTTTGGCTTGGTGATCAGTGGCATTGAGGATGGAGAAATCTCTGTGCATCAGCACACATGTGCAGGTAAGGCACAGGGCTGTCAGAGCTGAGAGTGATGTCTTACAGCAAAAGCAACCCCTAAGGGCCAGTGCACTGCACCCCACAACAGCGTTCAGGAGACCATAAAGTAAATTTCTTTCATTCATGATTCAGGCAAAGTCAAGAGATGACTGTTCATGAATGAGACAGACCCTGACCATTATTTACAGTAGGTGTTGACCACCAGAAACTGTTCAATGAATATCCCTTATAAACGATACATAGGTAAATATAAAGCTGGCTCAAGTTGCTATATGTTGTTGCTGTTTTTAATAGCCGAACGCTTACAGAAGGCAGTGCTGAGGGCTAACCATGCTTAAAGACAGAGATAGTTATGGATGGATGAATTAGTCACTGCAAGACAGGGGTTCAACTGAAGTAACATTTCTACCTGTAGGCAGGTTGTCTACAAAGACATCTGTGTCTGTTTCATATCCATCTCCATACTGATACAGCAAATAAAGAAACTCTAACAACAGGTAGCCTGAAAAGCATAAATACATCCGCTTGCAATTAACCAGACATGCTGCAGATGTTCGAAAATCAGTATAAGAATGATTTCCACAGGCTGACATCTGGTCCTACAAGGGTCCCTGGGGACTCCTCTGCTGTTGTGTGAGCTCAGGGGTCAGGTTCATGCTCCAAGACAGCTCCCTAAACCCTTCAGCTGTTTACCTTGCTGCTGTGAGAGTTTACACCTCTGCTCACGGCTCGGAGGGAGGAAGCTGTCCTGCTCACTTGGAAATGCAGGTACTGCGTTTTTAGTCTTTAGTCCTGCTTCAGAGCCACCCCTCCAGGCAGGCAGTGCCACATGCTGAGCCAAAACAGGTTCAAACCTGGACATTAAAAGAAAAAGAAAAACAAAGAAGAAAAGACACCATACGCAGATCTATTCTGCATCCCAAAGGACAGGGAGCAAAACATGGAAACAGTTGCTTTGTGGAGCCCGTGGAGTTGCCACTGCCTGCAACCAGTGTTACCCCCTTCTCTGGTTAACTCAAGCCACTTGACAACCACTTCAGCATTGCTCTTTATTCAAAACAGCCACTTCCCTTTGATTCCTCCCAGTCGGGGACAGCGCTTATACTCCAGCCTGCATTTACACTCCCTCCTTGTCTAGATTTCCTGCCTTTATCTGGAAAGCCTGGACCCCTCTGTCTCGCTCTGCTTACCTGCAGCGACGTGGATGCAACCTGGCAGCTCCAAGCCCGGCTCCTGTTGGGACTGGCAGGAGCAAAGGCTGCTGTGGTACAACAGCAGCATGCTGGAGGGCAGGCAGCAGCTGGGAAGCAAACAGGCTCCCAGCTCTGGGGGTACAAGCTGTCCTGCGGGCTGGCTGACAGCTACACATCAGCTCCACTGAATAGGAGGGCAGGGAGACACTTTCTGCATGTTAGCTTTGCAGCCAGGGATGCGGGGACTTGCTCCTTTCTCCTTGCATGCAGATGGTATCCATCATCACCACCATTTTCTGTAGCAAGGGGAATGAGGAAAAGGAATTAACTGCAGGACCAGAAATAAACACTGGTTTTGGTGCATGTTTTTGCCAATTTACCACTTGCTCATTTCAACAACTGCTTTATAAGTGGTTAGCAAACTTAATTAATTTCTGGAGAGTTTAGTGATCACTATCTATAATACTGAGAAATGACAGTGAAATAAAGCATGTCCTCAACTCTTATGGCTATAGGCACACAAAGTAGTCTTACAAGCTGGACACTAATAAAAAAGCTATAACCCCTTTTCTCTTTTCTCTTCCATCCATTACTATAAAAGCATCTTAGCTTCTGGTCTGAAGAAAACATACTTCACAGTATCTCATCTACTAAAAGATCTCTACAGAATAAAGATCTTGTATTTTTTTTCAATATAGTAATTAAAAAAAACCAACCAATAAAACCAAACAAAAATCAACTTGTGGGGGACTGAACACCTGAGGCCTTACTTAACGGTGATGACCTGACACATGGTGTTTTGAAGATGACAGGGCCAAGATCACAGTGCCAGTGTGACACCGCAGCCTGACGTAGGGCATTCAAGAATGCATTGAACATGAAGCCTGAGCATGCAGGATTAATACATGCAATCACCAAATGCTAATTGGTTTCTAAGGCAAGCTGTATCAGATGAAATGTAAACCAAAACAGAATCTGTTTCTCCAAGGCTTTTAAAGTTAAAAGCCTGGCTAAGCTTGGGTAGTTAGAACCAATAACACTCAGATATTCCCTTTGATCCCATATTCCTGCATGTCCATTATGAAACCATCAATATCTTGTGAAGGTTGGAGGGAAGGTGTAGGCTCTCTGAGGATTGGCCAAATGCTACCTTCGCATCTCTCCCAGCTCCTCTTTCCAATATTTGTCTTCATCAGTGATTCTGGTACCATAAACAATGACAGCACACATCAAACTCAAGGCAGTGAGGGGATAAAGAAATAAGAGATGTTTGCTAGGGAGGATGCTGGCCCAGGCAAATGCGCAGCTGCCTGGCTAGAGGTTTCCTGTAACACTGCACCTCTAAGTACTGTATTTGCCTCAGGCAGCTTCCCTCCATATAAAGAGGAACATTAAATCAACAGATATTTATACACATTGACTTAGAATTCTGTGAATGCAAAAGTCATTCCATCTCTGGGCCCTAAACTGTAAAGAAGTTCCTAGGAGGACAGAGCATGGGTGCAACATCAATGAGGTCTCCAACCATCTGCTCTTGCTCCCCTGGATTAGATGGGAACTTTCTCCATTTATTTGGGATGGAGAGCAGAATAAAGGTGTGCAGTTTGTCCCCTTAGGTATCTACCAGATTCCAAAGTCTAAGAAAATACCAGCAGTGCTTTGCCAATGACTCCCAGAAAAAGATTATTACAGGGATTATTTGCTGGGGATAGGGGAGATAATAGCCTACTGGTGCTGTGCAATCAGTGCATAATTAAAATCCCTAAACACAGCAAAAAATCTGAAAAAATATTGGGAAATGGGACAAAACGTCTATGTCTGGAATTGAGTTTTTTTTTTTACCAGATGCTATAATCAATGAGCTGAGACAGTAAATGGAGAGAGGTGTAGCTGATCTACAGGAGGTCACTGCATGCTTCTGCCTTTGTCACTGAGAACAGTAGAGTTCATGGCCATGGAGAGGCTGCAGTATCTTTTCCAGCTTCCATAATGTCAGAACTGCCTTTTTTAGGACAAGGAAACCCCTACCTGAAGACTATGCTGCATAGAGGAAAGTGGTACAGGTGGGCAAAGTTCCGTGAAAAGAGTCACAGTGGCCTGCTCCATAGTCCCAGGGCAAACTTGGCCTCACAAATGGGATGCAAAAGCTCAGGTGCCTCATACACCAGGCATTAACTCTTTGTTTTTGGGTCACGTGGGTTGAATCCCCATCCCTTGCATTGTTCAAGACTAGGCTGGATGGGGCTTGGAGCAAGCTGCTCTAGTGGAAGGTGTCCCTGCCTGTGGCAGGGATTGGAACTGGAGGAGCTTTCAGGTCCCTTCAACACAAACCAGTCTGAGATTCTATGAGCTCTTGAGGGGACTCTGCTCCTGGGCAGGTCTGAGCTTTCAGACTCATCAGGATGTCCCAAATCCCCAAGAGCAACATCTTTCTGATACAAACAGACCTCCAGTGCTAAGGAGAAGTGGAGCTGAGAGTGTGCTGTTTCCATAGCAGGGCAGGGGAATCTATGGAAACCCTTGAAAGGGGATTGCTCTACGTACTTGCAAAACAGCATAGCCAAAAGCAGTACCAGGGCACTTACAAGGCATGCTGTGAAGCTGGGATAATTTCCATCCATTTAGCAAAGTGCTTCCAGTCCTTGTTTCAGAGCAGGTAAAAGGAAAATACAGTAAATATTGAACAAACGAAGTTAATCTGTAGCCACAGCACTTTGCTCAAACCATCTGACTGTTGCCTGCTTCTGGTTTATTATTTTCCTCTCAGGCAGGATGCCTTTTTCTGTTGTTGTTGTTGAAAAGACTACATCTGTGTGATGGTTGGTTGCTCTCATTCCCCTCCACACACAGACATGCTAACCCATAAGGCACAGGTGAAAATCATGGGGTAGTCAATCCCTACGGCAAATGCAGACATTTTGGTAACATGATATATATCTGTGAGTAATTGCACACTTTGCTCTTCAGTTTGGCGGAAAAGTGCCCTTGAAAATTGCTTACTCTCCCACTAAAATATACAGGATTTGTACTCCAAGGGACAAAGCAGAAGTACAATGAATAACTGCAATCAGGAAAAAACAAGTAAGGTTCTTTGACTTTGTCCTTTCACAGAGATTTAGGACTCAGTTCTTAAAGTTTTTCTTGCTATTGCACCGTGCTCTGTTCTTGGCTACAGCAGTTTAAATATCAACTGGTGTGGCTAAATTGGTCCTTGAAATTTGCAAGCAGGGTTACCAGGGATGAATTTTATTTTCAAGGCTAATACAGTTATCAGTCTGGTTTTGTCTTTTACCACTTACGTCATCATAATAGTCAAAAGCATTATAAAATGCCTGACCAGAAATGTTCTGTTGAATACATTATGAATGGACCCAAACTGCCTGTGAAGATTGCAAATCTTTTGTTTTGTAGAGAGAATGCTAATTGCTCGTTTTCCATTGAACTCAGGCATTTTGGGACAAGATCATATTTCATGTTCTCTTTTCTGGGGAAATCTTCACTGGATATAAATAGTTACAGCACTCAAATGACTTCCAGTAGTCTTAGTGAAGGTGTTACTCTGGTATGGAAACGTAACTGGTTCTGCAAGTTTCGTTGAGATGGTTTCAACCTGCCTGGTGTTGTGCCTACTAGAGACACTTCTCATCCATTGCTATCTACAGGGACCTTCCAAATTGCAGGGGAATTGGGGTATTTCAAGGCCAAAAGGGGTCATTTTGATTTCTGACTCTGGATTCTTGCATTTTAATTCTCTTGAGCCTTTGTTCCAGGCAGGCAAGCAGGCTGACAGCAGGTTCAGAATAGGTGGAGGAATGATTGTCTGGCAGCAGCTAACCTCATTTTGGTCAGCTCAGAGTCTCCAGTACATTTGCAGAGCAAGTCTTGAACTTGACATTCTGTGTCAGGTAGGGAAGTGTTTTTAAAAGTTCTATGCCACCATGTTTGTTCAGTGTACTACATAGCTCTGTACAGATCACAGAGGGCAGTGTCATTTTTTGGCTGGGTCTTTTTTGCTTTCTCCCAGAATCAAGGATGAGCAGAGGCCCTTTCAAGAACATCCAATCTTTTGGGTAACGTCAAGCTACCTTTTTTGTTTGTAGGGATTTCTCAAGCTGCTCAAAAATGAAAATGCTCTCCCAGAAGGGAGGGAAAGGTCTCTCTCTTCCCTTCCCTTTTCTCCAGAGGAGAAAATGGCACTTGGCAGACATTCAGTCAAGCAGATGGTCAGCTATGCTCAGCACCATTTGGATCACTGTCATGGTTTAAACTAGACTAGAACTGGTTTAAACTAAAACCATCGGTGCTATCAGCATTGTTCCCAGGCTGAAAGTCAAAAACCACAGCACTGCACCAGCTGCTAAGAAGGAGAAAAATGACTGCTACTGCTGAACTCAGGACAATCACATTTTCAGAACTATAACAGAATGAAAACAGTAACACCAGAGCAGAGGTATAACACAGAAAACCATACAGACACGTAAGGCACAAGCAGCCATTAGGTGAAAGGCAAACATTATTTAGCAACTCACAAGTTCATAAATGGTAGGTTTACAGAAACTTAATCCCCTTCTACTCATTAGGGGATTTCACTACAAACCAGAAATAGCTGATTGGGAATACGAGCAATGTATTTAAAAGAATGAAACACGCTTCAGAGAAGTCCTTTGGATCCTTCAGAAAGTAAAAGCACTAATTAAAAAAAGATGTTTCTGTAAGACACAGCCACAGGTTTACAGGGTGGGAATTGGCTAACTTAGAGCCTGTTCTGTGTGTCTGGCCACTGGTTGGCAACTGCAAACCTTCACACTATAAAAACTCTTTCAGTAACACTTTAAAATACTTGCCCAATCATGTTTAGTTCACTTGGGATTCATTATAATGCCATTAGATGGGATTATATCATTTGGTTTATTGTCAATTGCATTTCCATATTGTGTCCAGTGGTTTTATGATGTGGACAAATATTACACCAAGGACTTAGGCTCAGGCCATCACATTTAAATTCTTTTCCTGAGTAACAGTTGGCAGAAATCCTCATCTCAAGACATCCAGGCTGCAAAACCCTCCTTGGAAGCAAAGGGGAGACCAAACATAGTTTTATGCTATTGAGAGGATTGCTCCAATGGTTCTGTGTGTTCTAGAGTTTGCTGAATCCACCTAAATGCTGGAATTAAATACAAAATGCATTGTCTATTTCTCCTTTCACTTTGACTATAAAGACCACAGGGAAGTACAGATTTGAGATCTTCTTCTGATTCACAGTGGCTGGCCAGAGCAGGAGCATGAGCACCAAGACAAATGCCCTAGCCTGACAGATATCTAAACTACCTGGAAAGCTGGTAATGAGCTGAAGCCCTCAGACTCAAACGTCTGATCACATCTGCTTTCATATCCAAAACATTAAATGCTTCCAACAGTAGTAAGGCTCTAGAGAAATGAAATCACTATCAGGGGGAACAAGGAGGACATCAGACTTCTTGTCGCACCAGATTAAAATCCTTTTGTACTATGCTCTTCATCACTCTTTCAGGACAATAAGTAAATAACCCCTTTTCTTATAAAGTGAACAAGAACAGCTTAGTTGTATTGGATTGCATAATGCATTTTCAACAAGGGTTTTATTGCTGTCACCTCTAATAAAAATTAAACATGAGTGCTAATGGCCTAGGTAACAGGAATGCAGGTTTCTCAGTATGGGAGAGAGTGTTGCTTTCTAACAAACTTACAGTCATGCTAGAGAAGAAGGTGGATTTTGTTGTTGAAAGCTGCCTGGAAGTATTTTAAAGAAAGCATATGACAAAGCACAGAAAATATCTAAGGAAACAATAATAAAACCAGAACATGATAAAAGTATCAGAGGTTCACAGCAGTAATAATAATAACCTTAATAATAAAAATAATGTGTAATGGGACTATACAAAGAATCAGCTCTAAAACACATGTGGTGAAAGATCTTCATGTTGATGAAGCATTTGTTCTCATCATAAAATAACACCCATAATTTGAAAGTTAGGTGTTAAAAGAAAAACTAATCTGGTCAAGAGTTGGTCTGCTTGTGAAAATGACCATGATGCTCTTATTGCAATTTGTGTACCAGCGTGCAGCACGTGAGCAGGGAAACCAACGTTCCTAATTCCTTCCACTCCAGTGGGAAGAGGCAGTCCTCCCCAGTGGAAACTTTCCCTCTTTCCCCTGTGCAAAAGCAGAATGGGGCAAGACTGTGCTGGAGTCTTTCTGCAAGCCTTGGAGAAATGTGAAGTCTTCAAGGCCTCTTTCCCTCTATCAGATTTGACCAAACACAGCTGCTGGCTCAAAAGCAGAGAGAATAAAATGTAATAGTTGGCCACAAATACTCATTCTCTTGCAACCCCCATAGAAGACTTGTTTCCAGAAAGACATAAACTGATTTTCCACAAGATACAGACCAGGAGGGAGGAAGGTGTTCGGAATGGTTATACCTCTTTTGGATGTGCAATGAGCTTTGCAGATAGTCCTTTGCTGTGTTGTTCCTGGTGGTAACCAGACAGCCCAAGGAAGCTGTGAAGAGGGTTTCTCTAAGTTGGAACCTGACCTGTGGTATTGTTTCTAGTGGAGAGTCTCAGTGTATCTGTAGGGAGGTTTATGCCTCCTTCTAGGCACCAACCAATATTTGGCCTGGGGACAGCAAATGAGTCACATCTGCACAGCTCCTTGGCAAATAAAAGCCCTGCAAAGCTCTTTCTTTTAGTGAGGAGGTTCTCACAGGGAAGATATATTTTCATGGGAATTTACAATTTTTTGCCCTCAAGAGAAATTTCACCATTTCCCTTAATCAAAAGCGGTGTCATTTTTACCACTAGACATCTCACTTCTTCCCATCTGGCCAGAAACACTCCAGTGAGACATGGGCTTGGAAGAACTTGCAAGCCTTGGAGGGCCAGATCCAGCAGACCAGGCTGACTCAGTTCCTTTATGGCTCTATGCAGTGGGCTTGCCTATAAGCGCATATCCCTGTGTGGATGTAACCCCAGCATGTGCAGTTCTTGGCAGATGTAGAGCAGAAACCAAGAGACAGAGCAGATCTAAACCACACTCTCTCCTGGAATAGTCAAAAAGACTTCAACGGTGCTTGAGCAGTGGTGAGGACAGGTCTGGTTTTGGCAGGCCCTGAGCCATGTGTCCTGTGACCTAACGAAGTGATGGATTTGCTGGGGAAAGACCTCTACTGACCATGTGGGCAGTGTGGAAGAGCTGCCACACACTGTCCTTGCAGCACTTCCCAGCACAGCTGGGCAGCTGTGCAGCACCTTAGCCCTGGATTGCAGTGAGATGGTCCATTCTGTTTTGGACTTGGGTCCTCCTGAAGTCAAACCTCAAGCACACATGCCCATGCAACCTTGTGTAACCTCATGTATAACTGCATGAGGAAGCAGTTTTTGGGTCTATTTAAGAAGTGTTTTGCCTGTAGATCTGTTGATCATGGAAGTTATAGGGGGTCTCTGAAGAAGAGTTACTTGAAATTTACCATTTGATATATTTTCCACATTAAGAGGGAAGGAAACCTCAAGGAAAAATGTCAGTTTTTTTAATTAATTCCAAAGAAATAAACCCTGGTAATTGAGAAAGCTCATTTTGCATTAGCCAACAAGGGAAACATTTCTCTAACAACTGAGAAATGGAAGTCTGCAGTCTCTCATGTAGATATTTCCTGCAACATTCAACTGGATAGCTTCTTCAGTTGCTGAAAACTGGGGGGAAAAAATCAATGGATTTTTCTTCTTGCAATGAAAAATATTCTTAGTCTGTGCACACTCAACAGTTTTGCAGTAGGGGAGAATTTACTTCACCCCTTTTGTGTCCATCACTACAGCAGTAAAATACAAGCTTTCCATTTTCCCTCTGCTTATGATCCTCTCCCTTCCCATTAGGATTTCAGCTGCAATTACCAGTTCTGGACACATGTAGGATTGACCTGAGGACTAGAGAGACTTTTTTATCCCCAAGGAGGTTGCCAGCAAGCATGCCATGGAGAGGGCTATCACTGGAAATGAGGTCTTACGTGTGCTACCCTCTGACGCATGAGAAGTTTGCATAAGGCACCT